GAAAATTGTATGTCAATTATTATATTTCATTATAATCTGAAAGAGCCTTCTAGGCCAATGTTCCACATTGTAACACAAGGCTGGCTTGAATTTATTCATATTAGACGTATGCATAATTATTTTTTTTAAAAGTTCATGTTTAGTTTGTTGTCATGGTTTAAACCCAGTCAGCAACTAATCCCCACACAGCTGCTCGCTCACTCCCCCTGAGGTGGGATGGGGGAGAGAATCAGAAAGGTAAAAGTAAGAAAACTCGTGGGTTGAGATGGAGACTGTTTAATAGCTAAAGCAAAATCCACACACACAAGCAAAGCAAAACACGGAATTCATTCACCACTTCCCATCGGCAGGCAGCTGTTCAGCCATCTCCGTGAAAGCAGGGTTCCATCACACGTAACAGTGACTTGGGAAGACAAACACCATCACTCCAAATGTCCCCCCTTTCCTCCTTCTTCCCACAGCATGACATCACATGGTGTGGAATATCCCTTTGGGCAGTTGGGGTCAGCTGTCCCGTGTCCCCTCCCAACTTCTTGTGCACCCCCAGCCTACTCGCTGGTGGGGTGGGGTGAGAAGCAGAAAAGGCCTGGACTCTGTGTGAGCACTGCTCAGCAGTAACGAAAACATCCCTGGGTTACCAACACTGTTTCCAACACAAATCCAAAACATAGCCCCATACTAGCTACTATGAAGAAAATTAACTCTATCGCAGCCCAAACCAGCACATTTGTAAAAATCCTGCCATAGACAATCCATTGCAAATCTCAGTAAGCTGCTCCACTGTTTGAAAGTTCTGAGTTTCTTATTTGTGAGTTTGCCTAGCATCAAATTCCTGCCTTGGAGTTTGTTAAATCTTTTCTTCTGGAAAGAAGGCTCTGTAATCTGGGTATGTACAGGCCATCAGTGAGGCACTTCTTAATCTTTTTTTGAAAAGTTAAATAGTCTGAGCTCCTGGAATCTCACTTGTCAGGTAGATTTTCCAGTTCTATAGTCATGTCTCTCTTCTCAGCCCTATGCAGATCATAACAAATTTTTTTTAACTGCAAATACCAGAAATTTTCTAAGAAGTATAGATTTAGGATCAGTTCCTAACCCTTGTGTGCCCTAGAGTCAATAATACTCTGTGTATGTCAGTTATGATATTGGCTGAGGAGCAAGAGAGTAATAGCATGCAAGAATGTAGACAGTCCCTCAGGCAACTTCTTGGAGGGTTTTCCAGGCTTGTAGGTTTTGTTTCCTAGTGGACCTCATAGCTTTGTTGAATCCTGCTTTTGCATGATCCCACTGTCCTGCTGAGTGTGGCATGTCTCCAGATACAGCAAACTCACTTGAACCCACTTTGGTTGACACAGTTCAGAAATACAGAATTCAGGAAAGCCTATCCCACTGACAGTAAAGCAAAACTAACCACCTGGGCAGACAGAAGCCCCAAAGAAAATTCTGATTCAGACAAGAACCTCTCTAGAATTCCTTCTGCATACACTAGCTCCCTGAACTGGGTAATAAAACCAAACTTAATTCTCAATTAGGAAATTCTATTGTTAAACAAACATAGGTCATGAAAGCTTGTGTGCCATCACAAAAACCTCCAGGAACTAATTGGATTAAGGCACATACGTGTCAACATCTGATCAATCCCTTAGCTTTTCTGGCTCCATCCTGTACCCATATGCTAGTGTGAGACTTGGTTTTGTGGGTAGAGAATCAAATTTCGTGTTTACAAATCCTGAACTAAAGCTTAAGCATACGAATTGTCAGTGGTCAGGAGGCAGTGCTGAAAACATAATTTCTATATGGTGCTATATATCCAGGTCTATGCCATGCAGAGAGAATTCACAGATCTACGCAGGTTCTCACTATCTTTTAGATAGAAAATGACATTGCATTTAGAAATTTTTTGTTCCTCAAGCTGTGGTCTACTAAGTGCTGGTAGTCTTTAAGAAAAAGGGTCCATGAAACTGTTTTGTTAGGGCCTGCTAAGCATTTTTTTGCTACTGCTTTTAAAGATGTGGTACCTTTTGAAGCTTGTATGGTAACTAAAGGGCTGTGACATTCTTAAGTTGTTAAACTATACCGCTTTACACATAATATTTATCTGCAGTTACCGGTTCTTTCATTAATGTCCAATTTTTGAAGTCTGCAGTTAAACTCATCTAGTTTGACTATGATCTTCAGGATTGCTTTTCTAAAATGTCTAATTTTTAAATTAGAACTGGTAGGTTCAACTGGCTGAAGTAAAGCATCAGTCAGGGATTTTATTTACAGTCTGAAAGTGGATGCTCATTTGCTTAATGTGATTGAACTTGCTTGTCAATCTGTGTTCTGACTTTCTATATATTTTGTCCAGGAATAGTTTTAGCTGCTATTAGCACATTTGTGGCGAACTAGTTGGAATGCCATTGTTTTTGAAGTACAGGAAAACATTTTCCAGCTCTTTGAATGTGTTGTGCTAGTAGGAAACATGGGATTGAGCTAGAAATCACCATGAGCCAACAGTGGACAAGAAAAAGTTAAGTGACAAATCACTGAAGTACCAAAACTAAGGAAGAATAGCTCAATTTCTCATCTCCCTTTCCTCTTCTGCAAAAAAAGTCAGAATAATAAATGCCAAGCAATAATGAAAAATGTTCAAAAGATCTCATTTTAACTCTGTTGAGAGCAAACCATGAAGGCACTATCAGTGTTTCTCCCAGTGAATAAAACTTGCTACAGAACTGACCATCATTGGCACAAACTAACAGCAGGGCTGGTGAGCTCAGCAGAAAAGCTCGTGACAGAGTAACCTGGAGATGTGAGTGACAGTGATATCTTGTCAGTGTTTGAAATGGAATAATATGTACTCCCATGCCAGTGCTTTTTACATTTCTACATATTTTGAAAATCATTGTACCCACAATGTTATGCAGGGAAGGGGATGTTACAACCTCTGAGATCTTTCTGAGGGCTGTTGCCTCCTGCTTAGTTCTGCATGCTCTGGTCTCACCATCAGCCCTCACAGCCCAATGTTGACTTGCCTCTGTGAGAGGTAAGGCTCACCGCTTCACAGATCCCACGTTAAGTTCAGAGCTCAGCAGCAATCACCTATAACAGAGGCAGCTCTTAATTTGCCAAATCCTCATTTGACTCCCTCAGAGGCAGATGCAGAAACCACACTTCAGGCTTATGGCTTCAGGAGCTCCCATACGTTGGTATTTCTGGGCAAGACACAACAGCACACTACAAGTACGCTTAATATCAGCACTTTTGTGATTGTTTATAAACACTCTGCTCAGCTCATCAGGCAGATTTTATTGCTTTTGGGGATAATAATCCAGAAAATAAAAAATAGACAAGAATAGAGCTGACAATGAAACACAGAAAAACTGTTCTGGGTGAAATTTCTGACAGATCTAAAATCAACAAGACTCCGAGTCCAACCTTCAGTGTGACACAGGGACTCTGACATCTGAATCCCACCAAAAGGCAGGGCTAAATTTTTAATGCCAAAGACTGCAGTGACTGCAAAGGCTGTTTAGTTTCTTTAAAACATGTTTCTGCTCTTGAAGTGACTCTGTAATGAATCTTGATGACCCAGTGAAGCAGATGTAGCCAAAAAAATGCTATCATGTCTGACAAAAAGAAGAGGGATCCAAGAATAGGAAGACAGGACACAAAGGTGAGATTGCATGACATCCATAATCCTCCAATTACCAAGCTGCTTGTCAGTGGGCCAGCACTTGATGTGACTTGCAACAGACTCCAGGGTCTTGCAGTGTATGTTGCCTGCCAGCAGCTCCTAGGAGCCAGTCTAGTAATTACAAACCAAAGCCCTTCTTCTTTCCTCAGGCCACATGCTTCCTCCTAGCCAAAAGGAGGAGGGATGGCACTGGTCCAGCTCTACCAGCAATTCTCCTTACGTTGGAGACATTAACAAGGACCGATCTGCAGGGTTTACACAGCTTTGCACTGTAGAACAGAAACTGAACCTTTGACTCCTGAAGATATCTATCTTCAGACAATACAATTCTCATTCTGAAGATGAAAGGGCTGCTGAGGTGCCATTGATTGTTTTGGAAATTATTTTCACCAAAGAATGCTGGTACCTCTCCCAGTCTGAATTAACTGCCTGCCAGGGCTGGAGCCAGGAGCGTTCCTCTAATAACAGTACATGATATTACTTCTTACTTCACTTATGCCACAAATCACACAGCTTGATAGCTTGGAAGAGAGAAGTTGCTGGTACCCATACTTCATTTTAGTGTGTATGAAGACATCCACTTCATCTGATTTGTAAGGACAATAGTAAGTGTGAATGCTCTGAGAAAAGTCATGTTGGTCACACAGTATGTAACAGCCAGCTCCAGGCCTAAAGCCTGAAGGTGAAAACATACATAAGGTACAGTTTCTTTCATGATATCAGGAAGCCTATATTGCTGGTTAACAACTTGTATTGGATTTTGTCATACCTTTTGAATAACCTCACTGATTACTTAATAAAACTCTTCAGAGTAAGTAAAAGAATAATAAAAAGTGCTCTCTGCTGTGCCTTGTTAGAGTGAGTATTACTTCCTTCATGAGTTTAACGTATTCACTGATGTGTTTTGGCACTGATTCTGCTATGTAACATAACAGCATTTTTCAAAACAGCACATTTAAACACCTTCCCCACTGCTTTCTTGTATAATACCTACCCGTCTTGCCCATACTGGCACTCTATTATGGTCACATTTGGCACAGAGGGCAGGTGGTATTTTATTCCAGCCATCTAACACACCATGCTTGTTTTGTCTTGACATAAAAATATGGGGGGTTTTACCAAGTTCATAACAAAAAGGTGCTCCTCTGACTTATAAAATTTTTGGCATGATCAGTTTATTGAGCTGAGGATAAATCACATGGTCAGTATCATTCATAGGCAAGAAATGCTCCAAGAAAAGGGCACTTTTGGGGCGTTTTCTAAAAACAGCCAGTCTCTGCTTCCACCCCATGGCTGGATCCCTTTATATGGGAATGTTTCACTTCTAGTAGTCAAGGGCTTCATGAGCTGCACTGTCCCACAAAGATGTGAACACTGGAGTGCTCCATGGATTTAAGCTCTGAGTGGGAGTCAATGAATAGTCTTGTGCCAAAGATGGACGTGGACACAAAAAAAATCCCAATAGAACAAACTCAAAGGAGCTACTTGGTTTCTTTGATTAGTCAAGTTCAGCTGGAGGTCCTTACAGTAACTAGATAAGTCTTAGGTAGAAGGGAAACAAAATTTTTAAAGAATTAATTTTCCTAATCAACATCACTCTGGCTTTGCTTCCACTGAGATTTCAAGATGTTACCTGAATGACAGAAATGAGGAGGTATTTTTGCTACTGCTAGGCTGAAAAAAAAATCACCATATTTGACCTTACACTAGCCACTTTCAGTAGACACTTCTGATTTTGCTCTGGAGGCTTTTGGATCACGTGGTCTGACAACACATTACAGTTTTGATGCCCATGGCTCTCCAGCTGGATTTTATTTCTCTCATGGTTTGGCTGAAGGGTATGGGTGCATGTGTGTGTATTCATGCACACACATACACACACACACATGTGTGTGTGTGTGTGAGCATGCATGCATATGTACGTATGTGTGTTACATCCACTTCACGTTGCAGGTTTCAGTTTACAGGACAGCTGGTGGACGATCAGTCTGTCTGGAAGAAAAGTACGCCCACAAATATCACATGGAACTAGCTGGTTCTGGGCACTGATCCAGGCAGCCTCATTTAAAGAATCAAGATCATAGAAACCTTTGGCTGGAAAATTAAAAAAAGAAAGTATCAGCTTTCATTCTGGAGACCCACATTCAACTCTTTATGGAAAATATTTTCAGGAAATACCTGTTGACTGAGCCTTTCAGTTTAACCAAACCATATTGCTTTTGCAAATGAAAAAGAAAGAAAAGAAAGAAGCAAAAGAGTAAAAAATACATAAAAAGACTCTGCTTTTTGTCCCAGGGGTTGAATTAAATTAACTTCAAAAACTGAATCATTTTGTATTGTATGAGAGTACAGAGAAAACATCATGCTCTGTGTTACGATATGCATTCTCAGCTAATTATTAACATCTTTACATACATACTATTATCAGCAAATTTCACTTTTTGGCTTTACTTCAAGTTCTGTTTAATGAGCATGTGTTATCTGACCATGGCAATGGGCAGGAGGCATATCATACTTGAGAATATGCTTTTTGTACTGCTCTGGACGAGGGGCCCAATTTTACTTCTGTCAAAGTCTATGCAAGTTTTGCCAATAAGTGGAGTAAAGCTTAGGTAAGCCTAAAACCTTACAGACAAAACCTACAGCTCTTTTAAGCCACAGCTTCCAGTGAGGTCATTGCACTGATGCATCCATTGTCATCTAAACACTAACCCAGTCTTACCCTCAGTTATTTTCCACTGTGGGAAGAGTGACTGCTCTGAAAGCTCAGGAGCAGTCTTCAAACACTCACATCAGATGTATTTTCAAGATTTTATTTGAGTATGAAAAAAATTCTGTTTACTATCATCTTGAAATGGACTTTCACGTATTGTTGTTTCAAAATGATTTCCAAAAAGGCCAGGTAGTTGCTTAATACCTGGATTTAGAGCTTAAGAGTTTTCATTTAAAGTGCATGCAGAAAAAAATCTACATGGCTCAATTTGAATATGTATTTGCTCTACCCTTCTCAAAAGGTATGACAATACAGAAAAAGACTTAAGAACTGGTATTGTCTTTGAACTGTTAGCAGCAGATGATTTTTAAATGAAAAGGATTTTTGCATTTAAAAATATTCCATGGTTTCTGTCATTGGCACATGATAGAGCTCTTCATTAAAGACCCATACAGTTTTAATATGATTCATATCCAATGGTTCACATAACCACAGTAAGCCTTAGATCTCTTAATATGCCTGTTCCTAATGTTCTTTTTGTTAGAAGAGCAACCAAGTAGTGTTTCTTTTCTTGGCTGAGACAAATATCCCCTTTGCTTGCAGGAAATGAATGTGTATTTTCTGTACTTTGGAAAGTTTATGGAATATAAAAAAAAAAGAGAGAGAGAGATGACTTTCTCCTTGCAGGCATGTGTTAGGCATTCCACAAACAAAACACTGTGTAATCAGGGCAGTGGTTGTATTCCTGTAACACTTGAGTTTTCAGAAAAAGATTTATGTAAGTTATAAAAAGTTTTATGTAAGCAGTTAATATTTCTGAGCTTTTTTTGAACATTGCCTGTTCCATTCAACAACAGGGGTAATCCCTCCTCCCTAAGTTGAGAAACTGTGAGACATGCAGTACGTGTATGTGGTCTCAAGGTCAGTTATAGCATTTACCAGATGATCAAGAGTAAGTCTTACGGAAAAAGAACAACACTGAGATTATTTTCTCGAGGCCAGGAGCATGAGGCAACTGCAGGGGGAACAACAATTTTAGCTCAAGCTACAGAACTGATCAGACTTGCATCAGCAGGCATTTAGGGACAGATGCTGGAAGCAGGTCAGTGTCCCCTGGGGAACTGTGGGCACACATCACCTCATAGGAGATGTGCGGCGCCTGATATGACTCATTGCATAAATGAGACAATTTTCTGATTCATATCTGGGAGCCTTCTGCTGGATTGTTCTCTCAAAGAGTGGTTGTGTTTCTACTTTCACTCCTTCAAAATAAGAATAATGTATTTCAAAATAACCTGATTTGTCCTTTTGCATCCTCCTCTTTCAGATGGAATTCTCGTTTTCTCCATCTTTTTTACCACACAACATGTAATAATTAAAAAGAGCTTAACAACAAAAAGATCAAATACAACGAAAATATCTTTTGAACCTATCTTTTACTGAAGATTCAACTCTGCTGCTTGGCATGTGTTAACCAAGTCCTGATTTGATATTATTTGAGCTGCGATTATTATTATTTTGAACAGCTGGTTAGTGTTCTCAGTGATCCTGCTCTCTTCTGTGTGTGTCTTCTGGGGACATATTTCTTTGTACTGCTGTAAACTGATCTAGTGTATGACTCTTTCACAGTGAGTTGTAGGAGAATTTGTCTACTTTTCCAGACATTAGGGGAAGCTGCAGGAAATTATGGGGAATATAAAAAAAAAGTGGGTGAATTAACTGCCTGTGAGCAAGTGGTCCAAACTTAGCCCATAGTAGCTCAGACCAGCTGGCAGGGCCAGGGAAAGCATTCAGCTGAAATGGTGAAATAAGTTTATGTCGGAATGGGGAAGTCCTGGGAGCAGCTTCCAGGCAAAGCACAGATAAGATTTCCTTTTGGTCCGACAGTGAGCACACACCCCTGGGATACAGAAGGGAGCCCAGCTCTGTCGGGTGCTGGGGATCATCAATTTTCATTGATTTGAAGAACTGGGATCTAGGCATCTTACAGAACAGAACCCACAGCACAAATACACACAATTGGCAGAAATAAAATGTTTATTTTATACTGCATATATTTTTTCCCCACTGTGTTTCTATTTTAATGTCTCACAAAGACAGCTTCTAACATGTAAATAAAAAGGGACCAATAACATCCCCTGGATGTTCTTTGTAGAAGATAATGCATTTTTATCTATAAATATATTTTAATAAAACCTTGAAACTACAGTATATGTTATAGGTAGGTTTTAAAAATAGCTTATTTTGTACCAGTCTTCTTGTATCCAGTATTATATTTGTTATTTTACCACAGAACTCCTATTTTCAAGGCCACTTGCTGTTTACCACTGCTAAGTGCTAGTGTCAGGCATTTTTTTATAACTGACGCTATAGGTATAAAACCTGGCTGAAGTATCTATGCCTTTGTTGCCTGAAGGGTATTTTATTTTAATGACTGTATGTGTCAAGATTGCACATTATCCTTGGATGCTTTTGCCCATTTTAAACTATGCCTTTCTACAGCATTGAACATTGTCAAAAGGTACCAATGTAGCTGTGAAGCAGGTTGCTAATCTTTTTCTGTTTTGATTCAGAACATACTGACATATAAAGAGGATTGTCCCAGGAGGCATGTCCCAGAAGGCAACAACTACTCTTACTTCATGGATGCAGCTCAAAAGGAGAGCAGGATACTTAACAGAAAGCTTAAAAGAAGCCATGATGGCTACCTTCTCTTCAGAGTAAAATGGAGAAAAAAGTACTTGCAAACCATTAAGCTACTGCTTAAAATCCTTTTTTTTTCTTCCTTCCATTTCCTCATTTCGTCTGTAGCTTACCTTGTATGGGACTGACTTCAGGCTTTTTGGGCTCTGGCCTTTTCAAGTGCTTGGGTAGCATGTCATTCTCCTGGTGCCAGTTTTTCAGGCATTGTGGCTCATGGATACTAATAGATTTTGTTCCATACTTACGGCCACATATGTAACAAATCACTGCTCGTGGCCGTCTTATCACTTGTGCCTGCAAATAACAATTGTGAAGAAGAATAAATATTGGTTTTGACAATAATTTTGACTCAAAACAACTTTGGATGAAAACAATCATGTAGATTAAGACACCAATTCATATCTGTGAAATCAGTGTAACTGTTTCTATCAGTTCGTTTTGTCTGGATTAAGTCTGAAGCTTGTAAGAGATATTGCCTCATTAACTGGCCACCTGGAGCAGATAGGTTCCTTCTGCAGATACAGGGCTGAAAATCCATGTGTGTCACTTAATTAATACTTAGCGATGTAGGTTTTAGCTCTTTTATTTTCACACCATCAAGTTCATGGAAACGCTGAGTCTTCACGTGCAGAAACAGCTACTCTGCTTGATCAGGTTGCTGCAGATGGCGTCCGTCTTAAATGTTGAGACCTTTTTTTATCTACAAAGAGAAGTAACATGGAAAAGAGCAACAAAAGCTTCCTCAGCTGAGCTGCTGATGTCTAGTGCAGTTGCATAAAGACCCCATCTTCAGGCAGAACACAGCTAAAGTGCTGTGTCCAGCCTTAGCATCTCTTGTAAGTTGACAGTGGGGGCACTTGTCACAACCGTGTCATTGTGTTCCCTAACCCTGTGTTAGTGCTGCCGTAGATCAGTCAGCTGGTGGAATTCTTGGCCCTGAAGGATTAAAACCAATTTAGGATATTTCAGGATAGGAGGGCAAAATAGGAATTGTTGCTTGTTTTTCCTGAAGGCCTCAGTGTGAACTCTGCCAGTGACTGCAGCGAGGGCAGAACTGGACTCTAAGCAAGTCATTTTTTCTCCACTGCAGATCTGCTTTTGTTCGCAGAGAAAAACAGCTCAACAGAAGAAAAAACCCTCAACCCCAAGCCCCACAAATACATATTCTAAGCTTGAAAAATATATAATTACTGTGGTATTGCAGATTATGGACTCGACTGTGTCCTTAGGCACGTCCTGAGCTAAGGCGTGGTGTCAGTACCAGCCCTGCTCCAAGAGTAGTGTAAAAACGTACTGCAGAGACAGCACTTTGAGGCACGCTGATGGGTCTCACAACTGCCAGCACTTCCTGCACTTCTGACTGTGGAATACTAGTAAGAGATGAGCTATTCCCTGCCCTCCTAAAGGTAGAGGGACAGCCATGCCAGACCAAACACAGGAAGCCTTTCTCATTCAAACAAGGGAGGTGGGGATTTCATTTTTTCCTCTGCTCCTGTGTAAGACAAAGCGTAACCTGTTCCAGTATTTATGACTCTCTCTGTCAGCCCATCAGTGTATTCAAGAAATTCTGGGCAGCTCTTCTCACTTTTATGCTACGTCTGAAAATGTCATTAGTGAACAATCTGCATAAGCTTTCTTTCCTGTATCACACATGTAAACTCAATTACCTGAAGAAATACTACTCTACAAAGTGTATTTTTGCTGGGACAAGTTGGACTTCATCTGGAAAGTTCTCACAGTGAATTGAAATACCACTTTTCCAAAGACAGTCTTTCCAAGGACATTTTCGTCCTCTTAACTTTCAAATGGAATTTTCTTAGCCATCTTTGATAACAAGGTATTTTTAATATATATATATATTTATATTTATATATATATATAGATATATAAACTTATCTTCCTAGTCATAGCTGAATATAGCAACAGCTGTTTTAAGAATGGCCTCTAATTTTTCATTATCAATTTTCACCTACTTCTTTACTTCAGCTCTTGAGCTACACCTTGTCTGATTTGGAGATAAGACTCTGGGTCCAGATACAGAGTCTTTTGAAGGGAGTGTATGTTTCTTGGTAGGCTCTGGAGAGCTTTAGATAAGGATACTATAGTCTAAACCCTTCAGGTCAGGGAAGTCATTTCAGTGTGCATGCTTGTTACGGGTATGCTTATAGCATTTTTAGAAATGGTTTTCTAAAAAAATGGTAGGTATAAAAACATTGGGAACACATATTCCTCTCTAGTTGTCATTAACTAGGTTCCTGCCATTCATACAAATGAAAATCACGCTTACTTAGCCTGCAGTGTCACAATCATTGCCACTGTATGGGGCACTATAACAAAAACAAATGTATAGCTTCAAGGGGACTTAAAGTCCTGATATAAAACAGGTGAAAAATCACTTAGAAATTAAATACTCCCAATAAATTTAAAGACACACAGAAATACCATTGTTAAAATCAAATATTTTTTTGTCTTAAAAATATTTCCCTAGTGAATGGAGATAATCTTTTATCGCTGACTGCTTTATTCAAATCCATTACACTTGTTCTAAAGTCATTGTGATGTCCTTCTACTGAACAGCTGCCAGAGACCTGCAAGACAGAAATTAGTGATCTCCATCCAGTGCAATCTGCACTTCCACAGTTCTGAGATGGTCTTTTTGGTAGTCTCATCTGAAAACCTGAAGATTGAATAAGCAGTACTGTGATCGCTCCAGATCCTGACAGAGCATTTGTAGGTTGAGTTTGTATTGCAACTGAGCAAATCCAGTCCTCCAGCTAAATAGAGGATTCTTTTTTCCAAAGTTATCAACTGGGATTGATTCATACCTAAATCCTATTCAGTGAAAAAAATGTTTAAGAAATCTGTTCAAGTAGAAATGTCTCTGTTTTGTAACTTCCACAATTAAAAATTCTACAGAAACAATAGCAGAGACCAGAATTAATTAAAAGGAATCAGGTCACTCTAAGGATGGAATCATTTTTTCCAGGAATGTAGTGAGTTTGAACCATCACCACACATCAAATTATATACACAAATCCTTCTCTGCAAATATGCACATGTTAAAAAGCTGAAAAATAAAACCTGAAGGAGAATATCCTTACAATTGGTAGTAACATCTCTTTTATTGCTTAACTGTGGAATCTGAGGTATGATAAGCTTTATTTGGAATTTCTATGGCTGATGATTTTTATCCTTCATTTCTTTCTCTTCAGAGTGTGCCTACCCCAAATGTCACATCTGGAGGCCTGCAGTTTGAAACTAAACTATTTTTGGAATCACCACAATTTTCCAACCCAAACTACTCACAGGCCAGTGGCTAGGCTGTCTGCTCACTGCTTTGTTTTTCACTTTTAAAAAGGGTTGTAGGGAAGGTCTGTTCCTGAGGATATGTGTTGTTATAAAAATACCTACAAATACCTAACAGTGCAGTTAGGCTTTCCTTTGGTGTCTCAGTATTTTCTTTTTTCTCCAAGACTGCTAAGTATGTCTGTGTGACCATGAATGAAGTTATTTAGCTCAGAGGTCTATGCAACTATGTATTTTCAATAGACCTGACATTACTTGAGGTTAGCCCCAGGCTGCTGTTATGGTGTTACGTGAGGTCAAATCCTCCCATACTGCACAAAGCTTTTAATTTCTTCTTAAGTACACCCAATAAGACTGACTCCCAAACTCCCCTCCATAAATATTTATCATCCAGGACTGCACACACCCTTGCCTTTCTTATTTGTTTAATTATCCATGTATTTTAATGGGAGGAGAGGAGGCCTCCTGCTCCAGCCCAGAGCTCTCATCACAGGCTTGAATTGCCCAAGGTACAGAGGTTCAGGAAAAGATTGGTACAAACACTAGCAAGAGCATCATGTTGTATGAAGACAGCCCTTTCCACACATTCCTCTCTGGAAAGTAAGAGGCATTTTGCATAAAGGACAGGGACAAGCTGTGGCGTGGCTTTCATGACCATCCAAAGGTGCATTTCACAGCCTTCTGGAGTGCTTTCAGCCAGTGCCCCAACACAACAGCAGACTCACGTTAGGACTGGTCATACGCCTGTGTATGAAGTTTCCTTGAACAGCAAGGTAATTCTGTCAGGTGATGCAGGTAGTTAAAGATTTTACTCCACTGGAAGCACTAGAATATCTCATTTTACTCCTGATGTGCTATCTTTTAAAAGAAATACATCAGTATAATGAACATCGCATCTGTGTAAAAGCAGAAAGGCAAGAAGTTCGATCATTCCCAATGATAATACTCAGTAAGTTTCATTCAAACCATCCATTCACTGTCCAATCTCCTCTAACTTTCTATATTTGCAAATATACTTGTCAATATTCTCCTTAGATGCTCAAAACTGCTGCAACTGAGGGAAACAAAGATTATCATTGACTTCCTACCTTCATTAGAATTATACAGCATCTGAAGTTTTCATTTTACCAAGTGACTAGATGACTTTATGCTAGAGCAAGATACAACATCAACATTTTGTTGTTCCACAAGTGTTCAAGACTTGTGCTGTGTTAAAATGCATTACAATACAGTAAAGGAAGATCACTGAAATCTTATTTTTAGGTAGTTAACTTGATAAGAAGAAAACAGCAGATGGCAGCACCAGATGCTAGTGACACGTCTGATAGGATTTTAGTATCGGTGTTATCTGCTGTCAAAAAAACTGTAATGCATACCCACAGCAAGTCATTAATACTCACTTACATGTAGCAGACATTTGGTCTATGAAAGAATAAAAAACACACTCTGCTCTAGTGCAAGTCTGAGTTTCAGTAGTTCCAGACATCACTTCCATTGTCTGGGCTATCACAGCAGAATCCATAACAGAATTTCTGAGCTGATGTGATCCTTGAGAGTCTCTCAAGCACAGGTTGTTGTTTGTTTTACATAGCCAGACATGATTAACTCAGATGTGTTCATGCATTCTGAAAGCACGGGCAGTTAGTGGAAGAAATGGCTTATGGAGGCTGTTGATTCTCCAGCTCTAAAGGCATTTAATGCTAAACTGAGTGTTTGTCAGTGATGATACTGGTCTAATTGATCCTGCACTTGCTAAGGGAGAAAGAGCTCTAAGACAGACGCTTGGAGGCAAAAGTGCTTGCAGTTTTAAAGTTACAATGCCCTTCACATGGTGTACCACTAAATCAGTCAGATCTTTATTTTTAAAATGAGGAAAATCCAGCTTTTTAATTTAGGACATCTTTCATTGCATAAATTAATTTGACAGTAGCATTACAGTTCTTAAATACATTTATATAAGGGTTGGGTTTTTTTCAGTTATTCCTTCCCTTTGATGTTTTGCTGAATCAGGACTTTAAACAAATGCTTAAATAATTCACTGTCACAGTGAGTAGGTCTGTTAAGTGAGACATGGACTGCCCCAAAAGCTTTCCTGCCAGTACCAAAGCAGATTGCCATTTCACTCCACTGTTGGTATTTTTAAACAGAATTAATAAGCAGCCGAGTAACTGGTGAGGTGAGCAAAATTAAAACCGTATGTTGGAAGAAAATGAAGACTGGAGAGGACACCCAGACCTTGTCCTTGTTCATAGTGAATCTGCAGTCCTTCTGTGAGCTTAGTGCTTTTCAACATCCTCCAATGTGTGGACCTTTCAAAACTTTCCACTGGAAGTGGAGACCCTCACAGAGAGAATTTAAACCTATGGAAAAGAGGTTTTCTTTGACCACTTCTTAGGTGCAGTCTGCCAATCCTGAACAGCCCCTGGGATCCACAGGATATTTCTTTCACTCTTTCCATTCCTATCTCTGCCTTTAATGCATACCTCTGTACAAAAGGACAGCTCTAAAAATAATAAAATAAAGGACCTCAGAGAGGTAAAATCCATCATCCCTTCCTGAATGTCATCGTTAATAATAAAGTCCTTCAGAGTCAATTACAAACTGCAAGCTGTACAGCCTTATTAGTTCTGCTGCAGCTGATGAACTGTAACTGCTTGGAAGTAAATGAGGAAACCTGTTGTTCACACAGAAGGAAGAACAGATTTGAACATATTAGATTCTGGCTCTGCAGAGCTCACAGAAGTAAAAAGTGGTAATAATATTGTTGTTCAACAAGTCAGCAGATGTGACTGAATCCACACAGGGAGCAGATATGTTGTGCAAGAGGGCAACATTTTTACAGAGTCACTCTCATGCCAAACCACACTTTAAACTTGTTTTTTTATGACATTATAACTATAGACATTCCCTCCTGCCCCCCGTTTTTTGCTAAACATATAGAATTCTGTGTGATGGACAAAACTCTTTGCTTCACACCCATGCCTTTCATTAAACAATCACCTTTACAGCAATGCCAGTTCTTTGGAAAATGGCAAAAAGTAGTGTAACACAACAAGAACATCTCCTTTCCTATAGCTATAGATGCACCTGTGCAGCACTTTAAACTATTTGTGGGTTATTTGAAATTTGCTGATAAAAGACCTGAGGAGTGGACCTAATTTGCCAATATCTATCAATTAGTGGCCTCAAATAGCATACTATAAAAATGCCTCACATTGTCTTTATTCTCATGTTTGTTAGGGCAATGTTATTATCTCCATTTTATTCAGCAGTTGGAAAACTGAAATACAGCATGCTTTGACTTTTAAAACATTTTTAGAAATGCTTTGCATAGCACTGCATTCCTTTGATGACTGAGAAAGCTAAATCCCATTTTCAAAAGTAATGTAGGCAATCAGGATTCTAACCTCCATTAAAAAAAAAAAGCGCCTTTTATTTTAGACACTGGGCCTAAATTTAGACTTCTATCCTTTTACAAAAGTCCTGGCCAAAACACAGCTTTGCAGAAACAAATGCAGAAAAAATATGCCATTTTCCAAAACTTTGTGTAGCTTTTGGATAATGTGAATCAGCTTCTTTATTCTTGGATCTTGAATCAAATTCAGTGGAAAGAAATGTGCAGTCTTATTTATTTTGTTGTTATTATACTCTGAGTTGCTGCCTTTGAACATGCAGTCCTCAGTAAACTCATGTTCCATGCCAAGGTTATGAATAATGGTAAAAAATTAAAATCACTGGAGTGCTTACAGGATAACGAAATGCTGTATTTCATGTTACCTAAATAAAAATACCTAATATCTGCTAAAACATATAACATTCAAAGCTTGCCTAAGGTGCTCAACAGAATTTTCTGTGGAACTACTGCATGTAGTGCTCCCTTTTGGGGACATAATTCTCACAGGACCACAGAATATGAGAACCCAATTACTCCCTTTCAACAGGAAAACCGAAAGAAATAGGAATAAGTAGTTTCCCTTACACACACTTGTCCTGGTCTCAGCTGGGATAGAGTTAATTGTCTTCCTAGTAGCTGGTACAGTGCTATGTTTTGAGTTCAGTATGAGAAGAATGTTGCTAACACACTGATGTTTTCAGTTGTTGCTAAGTAATATTTAGTCTAAGTCAAGGATTTTTCAGCTTCTCATGCCCAGGCAGAGAGAAAGCTGGAGGGGCACAAGAGGTTGGGACGGGACGCAGCCAGGGCAGCTGACCCAAACTGGCCAACGGGGTATTCCATACCATGGGACGTCCCGTATAAACTGGGGGGAATGGGGGTGGGGGATTGCCACTCGGGGATTAACTGGGCGTCGATTAGTGGGGGGTGAGCAATTGCACTGTGCATCATTTGTACATTCCAATCCTTTTATTATTACTGCTGTCATTTTATTAGTGTTATCATTATCATTATTAGTGTCTTCTTTTCTGTTCTATTAAATCATTCTTATCTCAACCCATGAGTTTTACGTCTTTTCCTGATTTTCTCCCCCATCCCACTGGGTGGGGGGCAAGTGAGTGTGTGGCTGCGTGGTGCTTAGTTGCTGGCTGGGGTTAAACCACAACAACACTGTATTCCCCTTTCCTTTGCCTACTATTCAGCAGAGAAACATTTGCATGGAGCCAAATTATCCTTCTGAAGGAAAGTGATTTTAAATCTGATGGGAACCCAGTCTCCCCTGGAGTGCCTAGCATCAAAATACATCCACACCCTTTCACACAGCACGTGTTTAGCATTTTACCTTGTCTAATACTGCTGGTGCAGCCCTGCTTTTTCCTTGATGGGCCTTTGAAGGATCATCATTTGCTGAGTCAGAGCCAGAGCTTGGGCCTTTACCAGATTTATGGGGGATAGAGCTTGACAGCCCCACACTGCTGCCACCTCCTCTGCAACAATTTTGGTGCACAATGAGACGGTCAGGAAGAAAGGTTCGGCCACAGTTTCCACAGGGCAGGAGCTGGGCTTGAGCACTCTGATAAGCTGCCTCTTTTTCAGTAAGCGTACAGGAACCACCAGTAAGGACCTCAGGTTTCCTGGGCTCCACTCTTCTGAGATGCCTTGGTAGCTGATCATTTTCAATACGCCACTTCTCTAGGCACTGGGGTTCATGTATAGAAATAGACTCTGACCCAAATTCTCTGCCACAGATATAGCATACCCTGAAGCAAGGTCTTCTTGGTGGGATGACGGGCAGATTCAGTGGCGTCAGAGACATATTTGAAGAGTCTGACCGTTTTGACATTATTGCAGTGCCTGGTCACCTTTTCTGGGATCCAACTTCTAGAGGTACTACTTTGGGCAAAATTCTGGGAAGATCTGACACTTTAGATGGTGAAACCTTCTCTGAAGGCAAGATGCTAGAGACACTAGCAAGTGCCTCTCCAGCACTTGGCAGAGTGTTACAGGCTTTGTTCACATTCTTTTTCTTGACATTTGTTTCCATGAAGGGTACAACATTTCAAGATACTTCTCTCTCTCCTACACATAAAGGGCTTGGAAAAGTCTGTTATTCAGCATGATGCTCCATCTTCTTAATCCAGTTTCATGGGCTGGAATATACTAGGGATTTCAAAGCTGGAAAACTGCGCCTATTGGCCATTTCAGTAGGGAAACAGGGTTTCTGTGTATTTTTGTTTTGCCTTTTGGTCTTACATGATCCTGAAACAAATTAAATCAGTACATATTAATAAGCACCATCTCTCTGGTTAAGATTACCAACCAGTGGTTTATCACAAGGATCAGTTTACCTTACTACTCTGTTATATTTTTAAATAACAGGCAAATAACATAAAATATATCCTACTCCTAATGATCAGCTGAACAATGTAAATCTGAAATTCTAGTCCCAGAGGGTGTAAATTCATGAAGGACATGAAAAAAGATGGGTTTGCACAAACTGAAGCTGCTGAAATACATGGGGTTTTAAGTATAATCAATATGCTTTATTTTCAATTATTGACATAACTGGTATTTCTAACACAGTCTTTAATTTCTAAGCCATTTATGTTAATAGTTAAACAAAATTTCCCTGTCTGAAGAGAAATGAAAATAAGTCCCTTAGTAGAGGGATGTTAATGTCCAATCTCCAAAGCGACAGTCAGCAACGAAAACGTTCCTAGTCTGCAGGTTGAGGGAAATTATTAGGCCTCTTTAATCAGCACTTGTGAGGTGGTATCTCAAATTCTTTGAGCAGTCTTGATTCTCCCAGTACAGGAGACAGATTAATAAAATGGAGCAAGTTTATCAATAAGGGCTACAGAGGTGCTTTGGGGGCTGAAGCACATACCACATGAGGAGAAGCGAAGGTCACTGTGTTTGTTTAGTCTAAAGAAGATAATGCTAAACATATTTCAGTTTTTCAATTTGCAGTCTATCACAGTATACACACAACATTGTGTTATATCACTTAAATGTTCATTTCTCACACAGACAATCTTTTGTGTTGGCCCTCCAAGGATCGGAAAATAAAATTCAGACTGTAAGCATGTTATGGCAGATGCTATGTTTTAGTGCAAGAATACAGAATAACAGGCTAGCTTTAGTCATAAGCAAGCAAGAGGTTGCATAGACAGGCGACTGCCAAAGACAGCAAGGTCACCATTGTCTACTTCATCTATAATAGAAGAAACAGCTGATTATTGCTTATTTTGCCTCCAAGGATAGGGTCAAGGCATTATGGCCACTGCTCTGGGGTTGGCAGCTCTTCCTTTGACTTAAGAGTCACCTTGCCCTTACCGAATATTCCAAACTTTATCTCAACTTTGCCAAACTTTTAGGGAGTTCCTAACTCCCAAACTTATGTACCCAGAGATCCCACTGACTCATCTCAGGTCACCTTCTCTGCTACCACCAACCAACCTGGATTTGCTCTGAACTGCTCTTTGTCATGTTACCTTGGGAGACTTTGCTCCCACTCAACAGCCTTTTCACCCTTACCACACCCACCTCTGAACCCAGGGGCTGAATTCTACTACACCCAAGGGCAAGGACACGGTTTTGTCATTACCCTTGAGGTGACAAACTTAAACTTTGTCTTTGCCACTGAGAAGCACTAAGCTGATTCTAGTCTGTCATAAATATTCTAGGGGATACCTTCAGGACATGGGTAACAGTGAAAAAACAAGTTATCACCAGGTTCACATGATTAATCATCCTCTTGCCAGGCACACAAAGATGTTTAGATTGCTGTGTTCACCCTGCTTGCCTAAATATTCACAAAGTTGCATATTCCAGGGACACATGTGACATTTTCTCATTTTACAAAATCTCCTGTGAAGCTCAGATTTGTTTGTACACAAATTGGAAGATGTGAAGACCATGAGAGCCAATCTGTGATTTGTACTGGAACAAATCCCTGCAAACAAGTATGTTACAGTTAGCTGTTAAAAATAAAATTCTTGAAGGACATTATACTTAGCACTCAGAGTTAACATCTCCTCTAAAACTCTATTAGATAACTGCAGTCTGTGGAAAAATATAGTAAAGTACAAGGCTGTAGCATCTTCCCATGGCTGAAGCTATCAGATAAGTGTATAATGTATGTTAAAGGATACACAAAACTGTAGCACTGGAATTTTTGTTTCAGATATCAAAAGAACTTTTTTTTCCCTGACTCCTACACAATGTATAATTGTGAAATATCCAGTGGAAAAGCATACTACAAACTAACAAAGAAACAAAGGTTACAAGCAGTTTGGACAGCAACAATTAATAATACCTGGGCAGCTAGCTGGCCTCAAACTGGTGATATCTCATTTTAAAGAAATAAGTTTTGCCCTCACCAGCAGCGTTCCCTTAATGCAAAAAACTTTGTTAACTGCGTAGAAAGTATTACAAAAGCTATATGTGCAACAAACCCCGAAGCCTTTCCCTTGTTTTCCTTTTAGAAGGCCTAAATGTTCTGACCTTAACTTCACAGAAGGCTGATCACTTTGTACCACAACTTGCCACTGCAGGAGTTTGCCAGTGTTGACCAGGTCATGCATATGATTCAGTTAGGTGAATGGGTCAACGGTACGTTAAATTTAAATTTGCAAACTAGCATTGAGGCTACTCTACTGCAAGGCCCTTTCAAAGACTGGGAGAGTTTCCAAGGAGGGTGGCCTGTTGAATGAATCCAAGTTGGGAAGTAGCCAAGCTCTTTAGGAGGACGAAGGGAGTGGAGAGCCAGGGAAACATTAAAGGGTCATGAAGGCAGGGAAGATAAGGGTTATTGGAGGGTCACAGGAAGGGAGCATCAGAAAGTTCAGCTACATTTCAGGAAACTTCTGAACTTTGCAAGGTCCTATTTACATCCTATTTATTGATTTGTGTCAGAATGATACTTTCTGCTACCTGAGAGGATTCTTAAAGCAACAGTGAACATCGAACTGCCTGCCACATGAAGAATGTTATGTGACTAAATCTGTTACCATTAAGAATGAATCAGTCAATAAAAGATGCTATAAACAACCTATTAACAATATAACCTATTGTTGGATTTCCAAGCTTGCGATTGTAAATACTTCATAAGAGAATTATGCTTCCTTGTGGGGATTACACCATTTGGTCTACATTTATTCCTGCCAAGTTGACCGTTATTATTTGGAAACTTCCTATAAATTCAGTGTGAAATGAAAAGGCATATGAGCAGTTCAACTCTTCTTTTCTCAAGCTCAGTGGTAAAGATGTGGAAGTAAATCAGGATTGGGATTTAACATTTCAAAACAGAAAACTTCCTTACTTTTTTCTTTTAAAAATGTTGCAACATGTTATTTAATAAAGTGGGAAGGTACAGTTGATCATTGCATATAGCTGTGGGAAAACATTCCTCTCCTCTGCAGTTCCACTGAGTACAGTACTTAAAAAACAATCTCATGAACTGCAGTGACAGGGCATTTGCAACTAATGGATGAGTTCAGTTTAATTAAAAGCAAGTGAAATACTACGGCTGGTTCAGCATCAGGTCGAGAGCTTCACTTCACCTAAAATAGAACAGAATGACAAGAGTGCAAATAGCTCAGTACATCTTTTATCTTCTTGTCCTGAAGATGGAACTGGAACTCTTGCACAGTGTTTTTAAGCTTATCCTAACCAGAAATTGCAACAATAGCATTATTATCCATGCTTCAGTAATGCTGCCGTCTCTTAGCTGCCATGTGTGATTGAACCTATACAGGCAAGTGAAAACTTCTTCCCTGAAATGGCCTTCTTTATGTCTTCTTTCATGTCAGTGTTGGAACTTGGAAGCAAAGTTGACACATACGTTTCCTATTTCCTGTATGCAGCCCATTTCTGAAGAGTGACCCTCTCTGTTTTTCATCTCTCTTGATTCTCTCATGTAAACAATTCCTCAAAACCCATTATAAGGTCATTTTATAAGCCTGGATTCCTTGACCGAATTGAACAAAACATACTTGTGCTAGCTGGGGGATTAAATTGGCTGTTTCCAATGAATCCTCAACACTACTGCTTTTGACTTAGCTAGAATTCCACATGGAGACCTCCCAGCTGAAAAAAACAGAGTTTACCTTGTGGAAGAACACATTGTATGAAGCCTCCTGCTGCCAGGACACAACCGTGCTTATTCAATGGACAAAATAAAGGAACAGTTGTGACAATTTGGAGAATGTGTTTATGTACAGTTTATGAACGTTGACTGGTATCACAGCCTCTCCATGTGCGGCTGAATCTCTGTAAACTCCATTTAAACTAGCTAGTGGTATGGTGGTATGGCTAGCTTACTGTCACTGTTCCCATCTGCCAGCACAGAAAGAGACAAGATAAATTCTTGCACCAGATAAACACAAAGCTAAAACAAAGGTCAAAGAGCTTTCAAGCTTATACATCTCAAAGGAATACCCCTTAGACATGCTTGACTCCCTCTTAAAGGCAGAGACAATTTTCTCATCTGGATTTAGGAGGGAGGACCATAAACAAGCAAAACAAATAGTGGGAACAACTGATTTCTTTACTATTTTTAAAACACTGCTTGATAAAGCTATGAAAAGGATTTATATGAAGTACTTGCTTGAGGTGGCAGTGGCTTACATCCAGGAGGCTCTTTGGAGAGCGCTTACAAAATCAAGACTTGTGTAACAGAGTTATGAGAATGTCTGTGTGGGTTGCTCTGCCTGAGGAAGTCTATGACAGGCCACAGAGATACATTAAATGAAGGCGGAAACATATAGCTCCAAAGTGGTGGTATCCAAATACAACACTCTGGTGGAAGCCCAGCTACAGATCAGGCTGTCAGTGTCAAAAAAGAATAAACTAATTTTAGCTTGCAAAAGATACTGATTAATCCAGTATCTTGGATTCAAGGGTTCCTGGCTGGGTAAGACTTTATTTATGCAAACCCCCACTTCCCTCTGAGAAGTTCTGCCTTTGTTTGCTTGCAATACTATACTTGATGCTGTATACTCATTCTGCCTGTTCATCACTCAGTGCTTGAAGTCATAAATT